GCCGAGAACTGCCAGCCACTGGTCCCACGGGGCCTCGCGGCCCATGTTCAGAAGGCTATGTACCCCTTCAGGCCTGGACTGCCGTAGGAGGGTACTGGCCTTGCCGTACTCCTGCTGCTGGCGCTGGCCGTTGTCCCTGCTCTGGTGCCTGAGGACTCCAGCGAGCACCGTGTGGACGCGAGTCCACCACTGGCTACGTTGATCATGAAGGGCGAGCTCCCGCACATGGGCAGTGACCCTCATGGGCTTCTCGTGGATCCTGGGCCCCACGGCGCGCGTGGGCCCAGCAGGGGGCCTGACATGATGGTGAGTATGGAAAGCCTGCTCGACCGCCGTAACCCACGTCGCGCACTGCCCCGTGAGGAGCTTTCCGCGAGCAGGTTCGAGCGAAAAGGCTACGGAGGAGGAAAGGAAAGGGGGGAGACTCGCCACGGCTTCCGCTCCCGACCGAAAGCCCACCTGCCGTCGAGCCTCGGCCCACGTGGACGCAGGAATTTCAAACGGAGGGTCGGGCACATCTTCGACCACGGGGCACGAGGGAGCATCCCGCTGGGAGGGGTCGGGGCGATGCAACTGAGCACTGCTATTACCAACGTTGCTGCTAACTACGGGGTTACTTGAAACCGCCGAGGGGGGAAGGGGTTGGGCCTCGCATACCGACGAATTGACACTCACACTCACGTTGACTGTATCGAGCTTTTTGTCCCCGACGGCCGATGCGCCGACCGCGCCCGATCCATCGGACGACAGCTCGCTACCTAGGCGTGAGTCAGAACAAAAATTAAATTCATGGGCCCAGGGGTCCTCCTCATCCTCTGGGAAGGCAAAAAAATCGTGGTCCAGATCAGGGTCCTGATCGGCCTCTTCGGTCGCCTGGGGACGCGTAGTCCCTATTTGCACGGGTGGCTCCAAAACATCCCCGAAGGCCTCCTGGAACCCCTCTCACCTCCCTCGTTCGAGTGTGCCTCCTTGGCCTTGGACACTACCTTCGAGGTGCGGCGAGCCGAATTCATGATCATGCGGAGATTGAGAGCTCGGCTTGCCTTGGTCCACTTCTTGACGTCCGACTCGCGATGGATGTGAGTCTCAGTCATGACCCAGTGGTCGTAGGCTCCCACGTGCTCCTGTACGTACTTCCATACCTTGTCCGTTAGGCATGTGACGTTCGAATAGAATAGCCTAGTGCATTCCCCTTCGTCACTGCCCGCCCCCTCGGTCTCGTGGGTCCGATGGGGTCCCCGTTCGACACCGTCAAGCTGAGGGATCTGCAGGCGCCCCAGCAGCGTCACCACTGGCGGTGCCCTTGCCCTTCGCCTTCGTCACCGTCTGCTGCGCTAGGAACTTGGCCGCAGACAGCCTCTCCGCCTCCGCCTTGACGGCGTCTGAAGGGTCAGCTGCCGCCGCCGCCCCGCCGCCGCCCCCTGAGGTGCCCCCCGCCGCCGATGCCGCCGCGGCAGGAGGTGCCCCCTGGCCCCCGCCGCCGTCCGCCGTGGCCGCCTCCTCAGGAGCGCCGTCAGCAGGCGCACGTCTCTTCTTCTTCGCCCGCTCCTCGATGGTGCGCCGATGCTGCTGCATGGCCTCCAACCACTTCTGGATCTCGGCCTCCTTGCCCGTGAGAGTCTCCTTGGCGCCCTGCAGTTGGCCTCGGAGCTCCTCAAGGGCCTTCTTCTCCGCGTCCGTGGCGTCCAGCGCCGCCAGGTTCGTGAAGAAGCTGTCGTCCCACTCGAGGGTGATGATCTTCCTCTCGCCGTCGGAGCTGAGCTTGGCCTCGGTGACCCCTTCGGCCTTAGCCAAGGCCGTGGCTGCTGCTCGCTTGGCCTCGGTGGTCTCAGCCAAATGGATGGCAGCCGTCCTCTCCTTCGCCTCCGCAGCTGCCAGGTTGCTGCGGAGGCGAATGACGTTGCTGACCGCCTGGCTGTGGAGGTGCTCCGCGTTCCTCCACGCCCCGTCGGCCCTGCGCAAGGCCTCTGCGGGCGTGGTCTTGGCGGCCTCCCGCCCGCTCTCCTCCTTGGCGAGCTTGTCCAGCTGTGCCTGGAGGTCCACCTTGAGCGTGGAGTCGGTGGCGGCTGCGAGGGCCTGTTCCAGGAGGCTCTTCACGGACTTGCCCCCCTTGCCGCCCTTGCCGCCTCCGAGCCCGCTCCCCACGGGGCCCTTCAAGATGCCTGGGCGCCGTGGCTGCGGGCGCTCGCTCTCGCTGCCGCTGGTGGCGTCGTAGAAGCCGTCGGCGTCGCTGTCGCCGTACTCATCCACGAACTGCACCCGCCTCTGTCTCCTCTTCTTCTCGAACGGCTTGACCTCATTGCCACATCCGTTGCATATGTTGTGGCGGCGGGCCAGGACTCCATTCCATTCACATGTCTGGCACTGCGTGCATCTGGTCCACAGCTGGTGCTGGTGGCCGCCCGCCATTGCGTCTGTCCCTGTGTTGGTCGGTGCCTCTTCTTTGCTGGCACGCAGAAAAGGCACAGTCCCTCAAGCGCTACTGGGAAGCCCAGGGACGAACTCAAGAGAGCAAGTGGGCCTCCTGGGGCCCCTCACCCGCTCGAGCCCAAGTTGCTTGAGGGAGGAGGAGGAGGAGGAGGAGGAGGAGGAGGAGGAGGAGGAGGAGGAGGAGGAGGAGGAGGAGGAGGAGGAGGAGGAGGAGGAGGAGGAGGAGGAGGAGGAGGAGGAGGAGGAGGAGGAGAGGGGAGGGGGAGGAGGAGGAGGAGGAGGAGGAGGAGGAGGAGGAGGAGGAGGAGGAGGAGGAGGAGGAGGAGGAGGAGGAGGGAGGAGGAGGAGGAGGAGGAGGAGGAGGAGGGAGGAGGTGGAGGAGGTGGAGGAGGAGGAGGAGGAGGGGGGAGGAGGGAAGAGGAAGGGGAGGGAAAGGAGCAGGATGAGGAGGAGGGGTCGAGGCGGATGGGAAGGCAGGAGGGAGGAACGATGAGGGGGGTGGGGGAGGAGGGGAGGGGGGATGAGGGGAACAGCGGGAAACAGGGGTGATGAGGAGGAGGGCGCAGAGGTGGGAATGGCTGAGGGTGACGACGAGGAGGACGAGAGCGAGGATCGCGAGGCGGGCAGAAGGCCCCCCTGCAGCATGGAGTCTGGGCCCCGAAGCCGAGCGTGCTATGTACTTCCAGGCCTCGGGGGGCGCCGCACGTCTTCTCGCTGTCTTCGGGCTCGAGGGGCTTCCCTGGGCCCCAGGCCCGTCACAATAACAAGCCATGGTGAACATTGGGTTCGGGGGGAAGGTCCCATGTCCAGGACCCATTTCCTTCAGGACGGCCTGAACAGAAACATTCGGAGGTCCGCACGGGTATCTCGGATCGGCGCTGGGCCCCCACCGCTGCTGGCGCTCGGAGCGCGCTGGGGGCTTCCAAGAGGGTTTCTCAGAAGGCTCGTGGCCCTTCTAAAAGGCTCCTGGCCTTCTCAGGCCCCCCCCCACCTTGTTTCAGGAGGGGGCAAAACACACGCAAACACAAACAGTCGTTGATTCCCCGGAGAATATAGAACATATAGATAACTATGGGGAGTGGAGGGAAGACAAACATCCAGTACATATGGAACAGTATGGGGAGTGGCGGGATCTGTCTTCATTTCTTCGTGTGTGCCTCTGGGCCCCTGCATCTCAGAAGGCTCCTCATGGCCCTCCTAAGAGGCCCCCGGCCTTCTGGGCCCCCCCGCCCCACCTTCTTAGGGGGAGCCTCCCCCCCTTGCGCCACCCTCCCCCCCTCTCCGTGCCGTCGGAAGAAGCAAGATGCACCCGTCGCCGCGGCGCCCGAGACATCCTCCGGAGCCGCCAGATCTCAGACATTCCCGACGTAGAGCCTCGCACGACTTAGTACCCTCGTCCTGGCTTCGTCTTAGGTTCCAAGTCAACGTTCCTCCCCCTGGGCCAGCCCCGTCGTCGTTCCCCCCTCCGCCGCATACGACGGCACCCTTCTGCTGCGGTTGTGTGGCGGCGGCAAGTGGCGGGGAGGCAGGAGCGCCGGAGCCGGGGCGGGTCCTCTCTTCCCTCTCGACACGGGGCGCAGTCGGGCAACGTCAGGCTGCGTTCCCAGGGCTGCTATCTCTGTCATCCCGGCCAGCTGCCTCCCCCCGGCGCGTGCGTCGCCGCGTGCGGGCTCCTCCCTCGCCCCCCTGTCTCCTCCGCCTGCCCCGGCAGCACTGCAGCACCGGCTGCCAAGAGCACGCGGCAGGGCGTCCACGGCCGGGCCGCTCCTCCGGCCCGACTGTCGGGAGGGGAAGCCGTGGACGTCTGTGCGGTCCTCCTCGAGTGCCTTCCCCTGAGATCGGGAGCGGACAGGACCCCCAGCCTGACACGTCGATTAGTGGATTGTCCGTTTTCGGTTCTCGAGAGGGCGCCGCGGCCGTCATTTTCCAGGCTTGCGCCCGCCAGGTTTGGGCCCCAGGTCGTTTTCACTAAACTACGTTTTGCTAAAGGGTATTCTGTCCAACCCCGATGAGATCCTGGCGTTGCAATTGTTCCACGCTGGGCCGTTTCGCTCAATTTCGGGCTCCAGGACCCTCACAGATCGATCCGGCTCGATAAATGACGCAGAATGATGGGGCCCGGAGCTCCTGTCATGGTTTTTTGCGAAGGTGCCAGGACCAGGATAAGTCTTTCTAGAGCGTTCCGGAACGCTCCCAGGGCGTTCCAGACTCTCTGGGATGGCTGCGGCGTCCGATACTCCCCGATTTGTCAGTCGGGGGTGGCCTAGAGAGGGGTGGTGACTAGGTTGGAGGGAATACCATCACCAGGGCCATTGATACCTCCCCAGATCTCATGGCCTCCTCTTCTTCTTGGAGGGCGTCCCTGGTTCCCCAACTCGCACTCGCACATGCTTGCGGCCATGATTCTCGACGCCCCCCTCTTGGACGCTCCCCTCTTGGACGCCCCCGAGTCAGAGGTCCCCGATTTGTCCCAGCTTGATTAAATCCCAATCCAGTCCCGGCCTCGTCTTAAGCTTCAGGCCAGCGGCCGGCGCGCTCGCTGTCCCCGACGCCTCCGCTCTGGCGCCCAGGGCCTCATGAATCTGGTCACCGACGTGACCTACGACTGCCTGCACGTGCTACTTGGGTCCGCGTGCGCCCCTGTCGGCGCCGTCTGATTCTTGCCTGTCTGCTTCCGCGCTGGCTCGCTCGAGGATCTCTCTTTTCTCTCTCTCGCTCTCTCTCTCTCTCTCTCTCGCTCTCTCGGATGAGGCGTAATTGGGAGGAGGAGGAGGAGGAGGAGGAGGTCAGAGAGGATATGAATGAGGGCGAGGATCATGCCCTATGCTAGTGATAATGATGAGGATGAGGATGAGGATGAGGATGATGATGATCATGATGATGATGATGATGATGATGATGATGATGATGATGATGATGATGATGATGATGATGACGAGGATGATGATGATAATGAGGATGCGGATCATGATCATGATGATGCTGATGATGAAGATGGTTGTGATGATGATAATATGAATATGTTGTTGATGTTGATGGTGATGCTGATAATGATGTTACTGATGATGTTTATGATGCTGATGATGATGATGCTGCTGATGCGGAGGATGCTGCTGCTGATGATGAGGATTATGATGATGCTGCTGATGATAATGGTGATGATGCTGGTGATGGTGATGACATGTTATCATGGCAGTGCTGGTGGGGATAAGGATGCTGATGATAATTGTGGTGGTGGTGATGATGGTGGCGATGCTGATGATGCTGATGATGATGCTGATGATGATGATGATGCTGATGATGATGCTGATGATGATGTTGTTGATGATGAGGATGACGATGATGAACGTGGGTGATGGTGGTAGTGGTGAGGAGGAGTAGGGGGCAAGGACGAGGAGGAGGCGGACACAGGAAGACGAGGACAGAGGAGGAGCAGGAGCAGGAGGAGGAGGAGGACCAGTGTAAACTCAAGACGCATCAACGTTGTTGTAATGAATCGTCTTTTCAAGTTCCCTCGTTACAAGAAGTTGTGGTCATTGCGGGACGTGCCCCCCTGGAAGGCAATCGCCTGAGAGTCTCCAGTCGTGCCCAAACGCATGTCCCGTGGCTCTAACGCCGCGGATGAACATGACTGCTGCGCCCTGACAACCCTACTTCGGGCCAGACACCATCCCAGGGATCTTAGACACAGCGGATCCACGCGACCCTTGCGTCTTGGCAATCTTCAAGGCGTGTCCGAACACAGCTCCTGGGATTCCAGCCATACGAACCCTTGACACGACTGCAAGCCTTCGGGGCGAAGGTTTGCGGCGCAAGGCGAGCGCCACAGTTTGAGAGGGAGCCGCTCTCCACCGGCGAAACTGCTGCAAACATTGAAACCGAATGCGCGTGGCGCTGAATCGAGAGGGACGGTTTGAAATTTGGTCGCCCTCCATTGTTGAGCTTGTTGCGAGCGTGTAAGACGAATGTTTGCAGCGCTAAGGCGAGAACCGCATCTTCAAAACGACCCGCCTTCCGCACTGGAAGCTGCTGCACCCCCCCCAAGGCAAATGTGCGCGGCGCGAAGGCGAGATCTACATTCCGACAAGGGCCCGCCCTTCGCCCTTGAAGATTCATGGGCAGACGGGGTTACGACGTCTCGGGCGAAACGTCGAGCCCGCCATGTCGGCACGTCTGGGAGTGCGACGCGGAGGAGCTATGATCCAGAAAAGGAGCGGAGGAGGAGGAGCAGGAGCAGGAGGAGGAGGATCAGGAGGAAAGAAGAGGAGGAGAAGCAGGAGGAGGGGGAGGAGGAGGAGGAAGATGGGAGGAGGAGGAGCCGGGGAGGAGGATGAGGAGGAGGAGGAGGCGGAGGAGGAGGAGGGGGAGGATGAGGAGAAGGAGGAGGAGGAGGAGGAGCAGGAGGAGCAGGAGGAGTACCAGAGTAAACCCAAGGCTCATCAACGATGTTGCAAGACGCCAACCCTCCAAGTTCCTCTTCTGACGGCCCTACAAGCATGTGTGTTCATTGCGGGAGGTGCCCTAATTGAACACAACAGTCTGAGAGTTCCCAGTCGTGCCAACACACCGTTCCTGAACCTTCAACGCCGCGAATCAATGTTACTGCTGTGTCCTGGGGTTGGGAGGAGGAGGACGAGGAGACAGGAGGAGAAAAGAGGAGGATGATGATGATGATGAGGACGAGGAGGAGGAAGAATTTGGAGGAAAGAGGAAAAGGATGAGGAGGGGGTGGGGCAAGAGAAGCATGAGGAGGAGGGTCCAGGTCAGGGTAGGACGTGCTCTGCGCCTCGAGTGCCGTGTGCAGGTGACGACCGCAGACCTGCTAGGTTATCCCCAACATCGCGCCCAGCTTCTGCAATGTGAAGCCAGTGACTTCTCCACCCCATTTCTGCAGGAACACTCGGGAAAGGACGGAGGTGGGAGGACGGAGAGGGATGAAGAGGAGGGAGGAGTCATGAGAGCGGAAAGTGGCAGGCTAGCTGTGCTCGCGCCATATCTAACATCATACCACCCCTCCCATCCCTTCCCATTGTGCTGTTTTTTGTTTCTGAATCCGCAGACGCGTGTCAAATCCAACCTGGAACTCCAACAACACGACTCCACCGTGTTTTACGCAATCGGGGCAGGGAAGCTGCGTGCACAGGATGCGAAGGAGGTGGAGGGTAAGCAGGAGGATGAGCAGGAGGAGGAGGATGAGGGCGTGGAGCGAGGAGGACGAGGACGAGCAGCAGCAGCAGCAGCAGCAGCAGCAGGAAGTGGAGTTCAAGGAGCGGGAGAGGCAGGAGGACCGGGGGCGAGGGAAGCGACCACGATGAAAACGGACTCGGGTCCAGAAACGTGGCCCGCGCTGGGGTGCGAGCGACATCCTGGACGACGGGAGCACTCGTCGATCCGAAAGTAATGCCCACACACGGCTGCGGGAGTTCCATGCTGAAGTACGGCCAGCAGCGCCGCTGCATCGAACTAGGCCATAAGAAACACAGACTTTTCAAATCCCGCGCGCAGAGACGGCACGCGGAGAAAGCCGAGTAGCTTCCGCACGGAGTCAGCAGAGAGAGGAGAGTAGTATGCATAGTGTAGAATCGTAGAGATGAGAATGGAGAGAGGCAAGCTAGGTGAGCTTGCGCCATATCCGGCATCCGATCCGTCCCTTCCCATTGCGCTGCGCTGTTTTTCTCTATTCGCGGACGCGTGTCATAGCCGACCTGGAGCTCAAACAGAAGGACTCCATCGTGTCATTCGCGACCTGCAGAGGTAAGCTGCGCACATGGGAGGAGGGCGGTGGCGGGTACGCAGGAGGATGAGCAGGAGGGCAAGGAGGAGGGTGAGGAAGGAGGAGGACGAGGACGAACCGCAGCAGCAGGAACTAGAGTGGGAGGAATCGGAGCAGGAGGACCAGGGGAAGGCGGAGGAGGGTAAATGAGGGGGCCAACAACGATGAAGAAGGACTCGGATCCAGAGAAGTGGCCCGCGCTGGGGTGCGGGCGCCATTCTGGACGACGGGAGCAAAGCGCCGATCCGAAAATGAGGCCCAGGCTGCAGCGGGAACACCTTTTTGAAACACCGACAACATATCGGATGGCAAAAGCAATTAACAAATACATGTTGCAATCGTGTGTGCGTGTATGTGTGTGTGTGAAGGCAGAGTAAGCGGAGAGGGTCGGAGATCTTCCGCACAGAGCCAGGGGAGAGAGGGGAGCAATTGCAGTGAGGAGCGGTGAGAGAGGAGAGAGGAGAGCGGAGAGAGGAGAGGCGACAGAGGAGAGAGGAGAGATGATAGAGGAGAGAGAGAGAGAGAGAGAGAGGATGAGGATGAGGAGGAGGAGGAGGAGGAGGAGGAGGAGGAGGAGGAGGAGGAGAAGGTGGAGGAGGAGGAAGGGGAGGAGTACGAGGAGGAGCTGCGAGGAGTCGGACAGGAGGGGGAAGGAGGATCACGAGGGCCAGTCTTCAACATGCTGTTGCCTCCAGGGATTCTCCGGTGCCGCCGGGCGCGAGCGTGCGCGCACGCGCCGGGCCTCCCAGGTCGGTGGACCAGGCGGTGCTCTCGACCTCTCACCGCACGGCGCCCGCCGGGGGGCAGGAGAAGGGGGGAGGGAGAGGGAAGAGGAGGGAGGAGGGAGGCAGGGAGGAGAGAAAAGGGAGAGGAGGAGGGAGGTGGAGGAGAGAGGATGAGGGTGAGGAGGGAGCAGGAGTGAGGAGCACGGAGGGAGTAAGGAGGATTGTAGGAGCAGGAGGGCATGTGTGCCTTCTGGGCATGGGCGCGGGACACAATCACGAAACTGCCGATGTGAACACATTCGCAGGCCCGAAATTGTCCTGGGAGCAACCCCGGCATTGCCGCTGCTCTGGAACATGCTCACCCGCCACAGCTGATTCCAAAATTCACCCCACTTGGTCTGCAACATGGCCAAGAAGAAGCCTCGTTCTCATCCTAAAACCTCATCCTCTGACCCTTCAAACCTCTGCCGCCCAAATTCCGACGCCATAGTTACAGGGGGAGCGGGAGGGGAAGGGATGAGATGTAACATGGGAAATAGCGAAGGGATGCGAAAACTAAATCGTCTCGCAAGCATACGTAATACGATCAGCACTTTCAGATCCCTTGCCCTTCTCCTTGCCCTTCCTTTCAACCTTGCCCAAACAAAGGGGGATGCCATCGCCAAACGTTACAGCGCGTCCAGGGAGTAGTCGCCGCCGCGGCCCACAGGTCTGGAGCCTCCTCACAAGAGTCGGCACGCCCAGCAAGAATAACAACCACAATGAGCGCGCTGGACGTCTTTGTGAAATGCAAGGGCAGCAGTCGCCACATCATGAGGCAGGGTGACCAGTGCAGCATCTTCACGGCCACATCCAACAGCAAGAACCTGGCCAAGAGTAATGCAGTCAGCAGCATGAGGGCTCTGGCCTGTATGAGGAAAAGACAGTTGGAAGTTTTTCCCAAACATCCTGTGTTGGGTCCTCGTTTTGAAGAGAGAGCGCCCCGCGTTCTCCTCCTCTCCTCCTCCTCCCCCTCCTCCATCCTCGCATGCATGCCTCTGCCCTCCGCATGTCCATTTCGGCACTCTGCCCCCCGCATGCCCATATCGGCACACCCCTCACACGGCTCGTGGCCCCATAGGGAGCTCCACCGAAGGCCCCAGTGGCCGTGTTCACATGCGTCCACCCCGCCCACCGCATGTCCATTCCGGCACACCCCTCAAACGGTTCGTGGCCCCATAGGGAGTTCCACCGACGAAAGCCCCAGTGGCCGCGTTCACATGCGTCCACCCCGCCCACCGCATGCCCATTCTGGCACACCCCTCACTCGGTTCGTGACCCCATTGGGAGCTTCACCCAAGGCCCCAGTGGCCGCGTTCACATGCGTCCACCCCGCCCACCGCATGTCCATTTCGGCACACCCCTCACACGGTTCGTGGCCCCATAGGGAGCTCCACCGAAGGCCCCAGTGGCCGCGTTCACATGCGTCGACCCCGCCCACCGCATGCGCATGTCGGCACACCCCTCACACGTTTCGTGGCCCCATAGAAAGCATGGTGCCCAAGGCTCTTGTGGCCGCGTTCACATGCGTCCACCCCGCCCACCGCATGTCCATGTTGGCACACCCCTCACACGACTCGTGGCCCCATGGGGAGCTCCACCGAAGGCCCCAGTGGCCGCGTTCATATGAGCCCGTTTCTTTATTGCTTGGGGCATGACGGGCGTCATGGCCCCCGACCTCCCTTCCCCCCCCCCTCCCTATGACGTAACGCTTCCCCCCAGTGCGTTCTGGGCACTGCCGCCGTGCGCATCGTGATCCGCATAGGTGTCCGCATAGGAATCCGCATAGGAGTCTGGTCCGCAATCGTCGTCGTCGTCGTCGTCGTCGTCGTCGTCGTCGTGGTCGTCGTCGTTGTCGTCTTCGTCGTTGTCGCTCGTCGCTCGTCGCTCGTCGCACATCGTCGTCGTGCGCGCGGACGCGGCTGCAGCCGGTTTTTTATTCTGGGCCGATGACGGCAATCATCTGGGGGGGTGGAGGGGGCCGATGACGTCACGTTTCGCGCTGGCGGCGTTTGAGAATGCCTGGGAATCGCCGGGGACGGGTAGCAGCAGCATGTCGGTGGCGATCTGCACCACAACGCCTATGTATACCATAGTGCCTGCGTGCACGACAGCGCCTGTGTACACCACACCGCTTCTGTACACCACAGCAGCCGCGTGCATCACAGCGCCAGTGTGTGCCACAGCGCCTGCTGGCACTACAGCGCTGGTGTGCACCACAGCGCCTGCGTACACCGCATCAGCTGTGTGCAACACAGCACCAGTGTACACCACAATGCCTGTGTGCACTCAGCACGGCACCAGTGCATAGACCATTCTGCGGTGCACGCTGACACGCGCACGTGCGCTGTAGTGCCGACCCGAACGACAGGGGGGAAGGGTGAGGGAGGAGGAGGAGGAGGAGGACGAGGAGGAGGAGGAGGAGGCGGGGGTGGAGGAGGGAGGAGGGAAAGCATCGCATTCTATTATCACCACTTCCCTGGCGTGGCGTTTAGCTGTTCGCAGCAGGTCCTCACCGACATGCTCCTTCTACCAGTCGTGTGCACGCAGGCACTTTGGTGTACACTAGCGCTGCGTTGCACGCAGATGCTGTGGTGAAGACAGGCGCCATGGTGTGCACGGGCGCTGCGGTGCACGTAAGCATTGTGGTGTAGACAGGCGCTGTGTTGCACATGGCTGCTGCGGTGTACACATTCGCTGTGGTGTACACCGGCGCTGTGGTGCACGCAAGCAGTGTGGTGTACACGGGCGCTGCGTTGCACACGGCTGTTGCGGTGTACGCAGGCGCTGTGGTGTACACAAGCGCTGTGGTGAACGACAGCACTATGGTGTACACAGACTCTGTGGGGCACATCGCCACCTACATGCTGCTCGCGTCGTCGTCGTCGTCGTCGTCGTCGTCGTCGTCGCTCGTCGCTCGTCGCTCGACACTCGACGCTCATCGTCGTCGTGCGCGCGGGCGCGGCTGTGGTGCCGGAGCCGCCGGTGGGGGAAGGGGGTGGGGGCGTTACGTCATACCCTCCCCCGCCCACCTCCCCCCCAATGACGCCCGTCTTCGCCGATGATAAAGAAACGCGATCCATGCGTCTACCCGGCCCACCACATGCCCATTTCGGCACACTCCTCACACGGTTCGTGGCCCCAAAGTGAGCTCCACCAAAGGCCCCAGTGGCTCCGTTCACATGCGTCCACCCCGCCCACCGCAGGCTCAATTCGGCACACCCCTCACACGGTTCGTGGCCCAATAGAGAGCATGGTGCCCAAGGCTCCAGTGGCCGCGTTCACATGCGTCCACCCCGCCCACCGCATGTCCATGTTGGCACACCCCTCACACGACTCGTGGCCCCGTAGGGAGCTCCACCCAAGGCCTCAGTGGACGCGTTCACATGCGTCCACCCCGCCCACCGCATGCGCATTTCGGCACACCCCTCACACGGTTCGTGTCCCCATACGGAGCTCCACCCAAGGCCCCAGCGGCTGCGTTCACATGCGTCCACACCGCCCACCGCATGTCCATTTCGGCACACCCCTCA